CTAAACCCTAAACCCTAAACCCTAAACCCTAGTTTATTAAGGCCAAACCCTAAACCCTTAAACATCACAGAAACCCAGCTTGTGTGGGGCCAGCAACGGGGCTGCCTTGGCGGGCGCTCTTCTTGACTGTGAAGGTCACGGCGGTTCAGGGTTTAGGGTTTAGGGTTTAGGGATTAGGGTTTACGGTTTAGGGTTTAGGGTTTGCGATGAAAGGTTTACGATCTAGGGTTTAGGGTTTGTAACCGCTCAAAAGCGAGGAAGTGCCTGTGGTGTGATGTGCCTCAGACCTTCTGGCAGCTGTACCTAGGGTTTAGGGTTTAGGGTTTAGGGTTTGGCAACAAAATAAACCCCAAAAAATGTATTTCTTTCTAAATATTTATATATGTTCAAGAATTTCAGTGTTGTTTGCTGATGCACGCAAAACGTCGAAAGATCTGCTGCTGTTGCTGCTGCTGCTGCTGCTGCTGCTGCTGCTGTTTTGACCTTAGCTTTTGCTGCCAGTGTTTTTGTCTTCGTTGTTGCTGCCAGCTTCAGGCCTTCGCCGGCCGCAGGTGCTAGTGCTGCTGTTGCTGCTGCTGATGCTGCTGTTGCTGCTGCTGATGCTGCTGCAGCTTCTGGGGCTCCTGCCGTCGTTGATGCTTAGCCCCAGGTGCCTCTGTTTGACCTTTGCTGCTGCACTTGCTGCGTGAACTCTGCTGCTGCGGCTGCCATCTAGATCCTGTTGTTGCAGCGGCTGCTTAGCGTGTGCTGCTGCTGCTGCTGCTGCAGCGTAGCCTCAGCAGCAGCAGGCTGCTGCTGTTGCTGCTGCTGCTGCGGCCTCGTGCATCAGGCGCTGCGCAGCAGCTGAATGGCCTGTAGTAGAGTTGTGGCTGAGACATAACAAACGCAGAGGAGCAGGCCCCCTGCTGCTGCTGCTGCTGTGCTGCTGCTGCTGCTGCTGTGCTGCTGCTGCTGCTGCTGTGCTGTTGCTGCTGCTGCTGCTGCTGCTGAGTTGCTTACCCATGCATATCACCAATCCTACGAGCTGGAAGGAGCCCCACTTTCGATTTGCAGCTTCGCCTGGCGGCAGCCAAAAACAGGCAGCAGCAGCAGCAGCGACAGCAGCAGCAGGAGCACAGCGGCATTTTGTTGCAGATCTCCTGGCGGCTAGCTAGTTAGCTAGCTAGGCAGCTAGCTAGCTATCTCCGCGATTATGGCTAGCTAGCCAAGTTTGCCCGTATGCCTAGCTAGCTAAGAAGCTCCCCTAGCATGTGGCTAGCTAGCCAAGAAGCTCTCTAAGTGATTACCTGGCTAGCCAAGAAGCTAGCCAGCTAGCTGCCTAGCTAGCCAAGAAGCTTTCTCAGCATTTGGGCAGCTAGCTAGCCAGCTTCCCAGCTAGCTCTCTAGCTAGCTCTCTATGTGTCTGGCTAGCTAGCCCAAACGCTCCGCAACTATCTGGCTAGCTAGCTAAGAAACTCGGTAGCTAGCTAGCTAGCTAGCTAGCTGGCTGGCTAGCTAGCTAGCTAGCTAGTGCATAGCCCGCTACGCGTTCAGCTGGGAGTCCATGAAGCCCGCCACCTCGAAAGCTAGCTAGCCAGCTAGCTAGCCAGCTAGCACGCCCGCCAGCTAGCTACCTGGCTAGCTAGCTAGCTAGCTAGCTAGCTAGCCAGCTAGCTAGCTAGCTAGCTGCTGACCTGAGTAGTAGCCGAGGGCGTAGACGAAAGTGCCGAGGAGAAACAAAAAGCCTCCGAAGGCCGAAGCCAACGGACTCGCGAGGCCCCCAGCCAGCAGCAAAGGAATGAATATCGTGTACATCTCCACCGCGTGCTGCAGCAGCAGCAGCAGCAGCAGCAGCAGCAGTAGCAGCAACAGCGGAAAGCCATGCACCAGCAGCAGCAGCAGCAGCAGCAGCAGCGGGCCATGCAGCAGCAGCAGCAGCAGCAGCAGTAACAAAAGCGGCAGCAGCAGCAGCAGCAGCAGCAGTGACAAAAGCGGCAGCAGCAGCAACAGCAGCAGGCCGCGCAGCAGCAACAACAGCAGCAACAGCAGCAGCAGCAGCAGCAGCAGCAGCAAATCTTGCCTGGTGGGCCCTTTGGTAGCAATTGAACAAATCGCATTCTCTGGCGGAGAGCCGCAGCAAACTGGCGTTGGCGTCTTCGCTGAGTTCACCCCCACGGCCAGTGACTCCTAATAATAAATAAATAAATAAATAATAAATAAATAAATAAATTAATTAATTAATTAATTAATTAATAGATAAATAAATGATAGAGACAAAGGACGAAAAAGGGCATGAGCACGCAAGTCAAAGGAAGGAAGCAAACAGGATATGGCACGTGTGGCTTCAAACAGCTCGCTGCTGCTGCTGCTGCTGCTGCTGCTTTTAATGCTGCTCTTGGTGCTGCTGCCGTTGGTGCTGCTGTTGTTGCTCTTGCTGTTGCTGGTGGTGCCTCGGCATAGGCTCAGGCGACAGTCGCGGCAGGCGCACCAACAACAACAACAACAACAGCAGCAGCAGCAGCAGCAACAGCAGTAGCAGCAGCAGCAACAGCAGCACCTACCTTTAACTGCGTAGGTCTCTGGGGGTTTGACCCCGAAGCGGATTCTTGCTCTAACAACATTAAAAGCCAGCAGCAGCTGCAGCAGCACCGCCAGCAGCAGCACCAGCAGCACCCAGCCGTACTCTGCAGCCACACCCCACAAAGGAAGCAGATACAGCAGCAGCAGCAGCAGCAGCAGTTTCCTAGCAGCAGCAGCAGTCTCCTAGCGGCAGCGCCGCTAGCGGCAGCAGTCTCTTAGCGGCAGCAGCTGCAGCAGCTACGTAAAAGCAGCAGCAACAGTTTCCCATCAGTGGCAGGAGTAGGAATATTCTAGTAGCAGATTCCGCAGCAGCAGCAGCAGCCTGCCAGCAGCAGCTGCTGCAGCAGGTCCCTAACGGCGAAAGCAGTAGCAGCAGCAGCTCCACTGTGATAGCAGCAGCAGCAGACTCCCAGCAGCAGCAAACGAGCAGTTACGCCGTGGCTGTCTCCTCCTCCCTGCCCTTCCTGCAGCTCACCTGGCTTAAGGGTGGGACTGTGGGGTTCTGCTGCTGCTGCTGCTGCTGCAGTCGCTGCAGCAAAGGCCTCTCTGGCTCTTTGGGCCAGATTCTCTGCTGCTGCTGTTGCTGCTGCTATTGCAGCTGCTTGGCCTTGGGAAAGGCTCTCAGTTGCTTCCATTTTCCCGTTTACTTTTGGCCTATTTGTTCCTTTCCAAGGCCCCTGGTGAGCGCAGAAGCAGCAGCAGCAACAGCAGCAGCAACGGCAGCAACAACAGCAACAGCAGCAGCAGCAGCAGCAGCTAAATAGTGATCGCCCAAGACACAACCGACGGAAACGGGAACAAAACAGCCCGACAAAGATGCATTTCAGCAGCAAAAAAGATGAATAATTAATTAATTTTTATTAATAAATATAATTATAATAGAATAAATAAATTTAAAAAGAATATTCGGGAAGAAGACTCGCAGCCCGCAGCAAACGGAGAGGGTCACCTGCTGCCAGAGGCGAAGAACAGCAGCCAAGAGTTAACAGTTTGCAAATTAGGGTTTAGAGATTAGGGTTTTTGATGGTTTTAAACCCTTGCAGAGGAATTAATACCAAGTGCTGAGGGTTTAGGGTTTAGGGTTTACGGGCTCCCCTGGTCCAGCGGTCGGGGCTGCGCCGCCATCTCAGGGTTTAGGGTCTATAAAGCTAGGGTTTAGGGTTTACAAAACTAGGGTTTAGGGTTTGCTGCCTGAAACTTTGATCAGAAGATTAAAATTTAGGGTTTGGGGTTTAGAGCAGCAGTGCTGCTCATTAAATGGCCGGCGAAGACCCTGTGGGGCCGCCTGGCGCGCGTATTGTCAGTTGAAATTAGGGTTTGGCGCCAAACCCTAAACCCTAGAACCTAAACCCTCGTCAAACCCCAAACCCTAATCCCTCAAGCCTTTGAAATCCGTTCGTTCAGAGGCGCTCGGCCACATATCCAAAACCCCGGGCGCCTCGCCGCGCCGGGAGCAAACTCTAAACCGCAAACCCTGAACTGAGCCCTAAACCCTAAACCCTAAACCCTTAATCGCTGTCTAGGCGACGCCTGAATAGAGCGTTTCGAAGCGCTGAGGTGTACGGACAGCCAACGGCCCAGAGTCCCCGAGCAGCTGTAGCTGCTGCTGCAGCTGCTCCTGCTGCAGCAAGCGGTAGCAGCCGCAGCGACAGTAGCAGGTGCTGCAGGCAGCAGCAGCTGCTGCAGCAGCAGCAGCTGCTGCTGCTGCCAGCCACTTCTCTATCCCCCGCAGCTTTGTGTGTCTCCTAATCATCTGAGCAATCTCTTGTGATGGTGTGTTTTGTATTTCTTTTGCTTCTACTATGCCCTCTGGTGAAGCAGCAACAGGAGCAGCAGCAGCTGCTGCTG